ATGTTCATTGGCAGAGCAGCTTTGTAGCCCAATACTGGAATTTCTAAGCGAGGAGAGCAACAGAACAGAGCTTGGGCAACTTGGCTGAGGCCTAGAGCAGGGGTGGGCAAACTACGGCCAGCGGGCCAGATGTGGCCCACCACGCCATTCTATCTGGCCCATGGGGCCCCTAAAAATTTTAGAAAATTAATATTTATCTGCCCCTGGCTGCCTGTCATGTGGCCCTTGATGGCCAGCCAAAACTCAGTAAGCGGCCCTCCATCCAAAAGAATTGCCCACCCCTGGCCTAGAGGGAAGACCTGTGCTGTAGAACTAGAAGAGCATTGCAGGACACAAGCGAGTGACATTGGTAGGTGCATAGAAACTTCACAAATTTCCTCCATGCTTGGAAGTGATACCTGCACAGAGAAAACTTTGGTGAAATTTTAAAAGAAATTTCAGGTATGCAGACTGTCTAGGTAATAGGACAAGGTACTGAGCAAGCTGGTGGGTTGCTAATCACTGGAGATGCATAAGAATAGGCATTGCGCCTGTATCTGTCGCTGATCAGGTAGTTAGCTTGAAGTCAGGCAGAAGGCAGGGCACCTTATATACTAGTGGGGGCCACCTTTTTGGTAAGCATACCACAGATTATCCCCACACCCCTTCTGAGTGCCACTCCAAACCCTTTCCCCTGCCTGATCTGATGCTCTGCTTTCTGCTCCCTGCCCTATCTGCTGCTGTGTTGCCTGGCCCCTTTCTGGTCTGCTGCATGCCACACACAGAGGCTGCCTGTGCCACTTAGGAAGCAGGTAGGCCACCCCTCTTATAAACTGAATTAAAGATGAATAAGCTTTTGTAAGCAGTAGCTTACTTCATCAGATGCTATGAAGGGACTGGAGGAAGCAGAGTTTCTAAATAGAAAGAAATGATCTAAATCAAACCTGCCATGACTCAGACAGAGAAGCTAGTGTAGATCAGGGGGGTGAATGTGTGAATAAACACATGGCTTCAATAGTGAATAGAACATGCTGCCTGCTGCAGTGAAAGCAAACTAAAAAATTCTCACCTTGTGCTCATATATTTGGGGGCTCCCATCAAATTCAGGATGCTCTTTATTTCTTCTTCTAAATCTGAATCTCAGATAGCATCCATGCCCCCAAATTTAGCATCTGTGTCAGATGGCTTTTGCTGTTAACTGTTGTTCAGCTTGACATGGAGGATGCAGCATTGCCAGCTCCTGTGATTTTTATCATCTTGCAGTGTTTAGTGATTTTTCTCAAAGCCCCAGATCCTGTGAACAGTTCAGACTTTCAAGGGGCATTCTTTTAAAAAGAAAAGTAAGTTTATATCCTTTCTAATTGCTGGGCAACACTTTAAAAAGCAATGTCCAAGAGTCACCAACTAGAGAGGAAATTAAAAGAACCAAAGAACCCTGTGTTTATAAAATCACATGATTTTTAAGTTAACACCATGAGTTTCTATTTTTTCTGAGCATGTGGTATTGGCAGTCATGAGCAGAACCATCCCACTTGGAAATGTCACCTGTGGATGTAAGGGAGCTTTGACTAGGCTTTCCAGCCAGTCCTGAAAATGTGTTCCCAGGAACTGCCTGTGTCTGATTCTGTGTTATCTGCCTACATATAGGAGCTGGGCATGCCTGTAGCATACTCCAGAGCACCATGTGGGGCAGTCCGGAGTCAGCCAGGCCTTGTGATTGCTGAGTGATGGTAATGCTGTATAGGCAACATTGTCAGCTCTTAGGGCTGTCAGTGAACAGCAATCCCTTTCTGACAGGGACAGAGTACTGGTAATGGGCTATGTTTGTGGGGAGAGGTGGGGTTCCAGTTTGGGCTGGTAGCTCTGGGGGAAGAAGTTTAAAGATCAAGTTGGGACACAGAGGAGTACATGGGATACTTGGACTGTGTGAAAGAAGGAGATACCATTCTTGGATATGGTCCCGCCTCTGGTACCCCTAGGAATTCAGGTGTGATCAATATTTGCTTTGCTTGGAGGAATCATTTGTATTATTTTTTTAGTAGTTTTATGTACTTCTGTGCAACTACATCTTTGAGTGATAGCAAAGTGCCTCAGGCAGCCCATGTGTAGGACATCAGAGGACTGTGTACTGCTTTTTTGACATCCCCTTTTACCATAATCATTAAAGTCTGATGCCGCATATGGCACACCCTTGTGGTCATGCAGATTAGACTATGGGCACAGACAGAAGTGACAACTTTTGCTCGATCTGACCACAGAAAGCGGTCTATAGCCATGACCAAACACAAGTACACAGCTGCAGACTGCTTCAAAAACGACCGATTGGGCAAAAATCTGAACCTTCATTGCATGACGTGTCAGATGAAGACATTTCAAAACAGAGCATCTTCTGTAACTTCTGCCTGCCAGCCTGTCGCTGTTTTCAGATTGGGAGAGGGGAAAAGGAGCGGAGGGAGTTTGGTCTGGGTTTTTAACAGCCTCCACAGGTGGGGTGTGTGTATTGGATTCCCCCCACACACGTGAATCCCTGGGGAACCCCTAGAGGTGGATAAAATGGTGGATGTAGCTGGTGGCTGGACTCCATTTCCCAGCAGCCCCTGCCTGCATCACTGGCCAGTTTCCATGGAGACCCCAGGAATGGCAGGTCTTTGAGTGTGGGGCTTGGGTTTCCACGGAGATTGGCCCAAGCAGCACTGGTAGGGCGTGCGGCTGGGCTGGGGCTGAGGTTCTGCAACGGTGACGGTGCGGTCCAGAGCCGCGGCAGAGCTGCGATCCACTGCCTGCACACCCCTGCCCAAGGCACGTAGGAAGCAGATCACAGCTCTGCCCCAGCTCCAGACCATGCTGTCACCACCACAAAATCCCAGCCCCTGCCCGGGGCATGCAGGCAGTGGATAGCAGCTCTGCCCCAGCTCTGGACCAAATTGTCACTGCTGCAAAAGCCCAGCCCCAGAGCAGCTCCCCGCTTCCGGCAAAGCATTCTCAGTTGTAGTGGGGAGCTGCACTTCTGTCTGTGCCCTATGTGTCTGCCTGCATGGTAATCCTAACTTGTATTCTGACTTCTTGTCACAGGCTGCTCTCTGGAGCTGTGGCCTTGAAAGCAGGACTGCCCGGGGAAGGGCTCTGCTTCCATTCTTTTGAGAGAGGGATTGGGTTCTTCCTCTGGGTGACATGCACACCTGTCCTGAATTTTGAAATATCTAGCCCCTGCCCTTCAGCAAAATTGCTAAAATGAAGCAGTTGCTGCCAAGTGACAGCGAGAGTGCCTTTTCTCTTAATGCCAACAGTGAGAATTTTTGTTTGTACAGAATGCATGAATTAGATCTCAAAGTGCTTTACAAATACAGATGGATTAAACCTCATCCCTACAGTAGAAATGTGGGAATACCTGAGCCAGATCTAATTGGAGGCCTATCTGGTTTTATGTTGTGGGCTGTGTCCACACTAAAAAACAAAAAAAACCCTCCTTGTGTTTATAATGAAATGGCTGACATGATATACAGTCCAAATGTAGACAGGGCAGGCAGTAGTTGCTGATTGAAATAAAGCTGAATCTCCCCCTGGGTTCACCTCAGCCAGCTCCATTGCAATAACAATATAACATGGCCTGACTTCCACTGGTATGTCTACTGTTTTCAGTCATCTTATCATACAAACTCACTTTTTTTCTTAGGATGGTTGTGGGCTAACAGTTCCTGGCACCTGCTACTACAGATGAGGGTGCAAGAACCCCTGATAAATAATCTGGGGTTGCCTAGGGAAAAGGTTTGGGTTATAGATGGACATACTGTAGATTAGATGTCTGTGTATATAGCCTCCCTAAAATATTTGTGGATGTTCGTCTCCTTCACATAAATATCAAACACTTCTTTAATCCTGCTAAGATCTTGGTCTTGGATACCTTGTGGTAGAGAGTTCATGGGTTAATTATGTAAAAAGTGTAAAAATATTTAGCTGAATAAAAGAGAGTCTGAAATCATAAATGTGTTCCCTTTCATTAAATCTCTCCTGTTCTCACCTTAATAAGATGTGAACAGAGGCTTTCCTGTCTGGATGAAATCTGTTAAATCTCTATATATTAAAACCTTTTTATTTTTTGCTGCCTGTCTGACCCCTTTTATTTCTGCTGCATTTTTTTTTGGTGGGGGGGGGGGGGGGGTGAGGGTTGTTTTGTTTTGTTTTGTTTTGTTTGGGGGGAGGGGGTTGGTATTAAGGCCACCAGAACTGAATATAGCATGCCAGAGGTGTGTATCCCACCTATCGGAGCATTGTGGTTATTTTTTTTAAATGTCCTAGTCTGTTTCTACTATGGTATCTAACATTCTTCTGCTTGTTTGACCACTGCCACACCTGGGGCAGATGGGAACATGTGCAGCTGAGAGCAGCTCAAGGAAAACATCCAGTTCCTCCTTCCATGGCACTGTATAAAGTTGTAAAATATCACAGTTCTTATTTTACACTTGGGTAAACCTAGGCACAGAAATTACATGGCTGGACAGTGAGTTGCAGTGGTGATTTTCACTATGTCTCTGTGTGTGAGCCTGAACTTGTTAATTCCTGAAGTCTTTCAGAGATGCATTAAAACAGGGGCGGACAATTATTTTGGGTGGAGGGCTGCTTACTGAGTTTTGGCAAGCCATCGAGGGCCTTGTGACAAGCAGCCCGGGGCAGATAAATATTAATTTTCTAAATTTTTAGGGGCCCCGCAAGCCAGATAGAATGGCCTGGCAGGCCACATCTGACCCGCGGGCCACACTTTGCCCACCCCTGCATTAAATTAATTAATATCTCCCTGTCTTTTTCTACTCCATCCATGGGTCAGCTGGATTAATCCATACACCTTCCAGAGGGTCAGAACTTATGTTTCAGGTCACAGGAGAGCTTATCACTCATAAACAGACCTGAAAGGATGTCCACCTTCTCCTGAGTAGTGGAAGAATCCACTTGAGTTCAGAGCATGGAATGGAGCATTGGGGCTTGTAGGAGCAGCTTACTCATATCCTTTTTTTGTGTATATACAGGCTAAGGACAGCGACGATGATGATGAAGTCACTGTTAGCGTGGACCGGGATCGCTTCATGGATGAGTTCTTTGAACAAGTAAGAAGTTGGTTTCTTGTGCCATGCTTAGATGTGTGGTGGAACAGCACAGATGTGGAACAGATGTGTGGTGGAACAGAAACCAAGTGGTGATTGTCACTGACCCCACTGCTGGATGCTAGGTGTTGAACAACCCAGTTTTTATCAATTCCTGTCCCTGGATGATGCCCATTATTAGAAGCCATAGGCATGTGTTAGGGACTTAGCAGTGAGAAAATGGAATTCTTTTGCCTTGACAAGGCACAGAGTTCAGCATTAGTTAGTCCCTCCTTGGTTATACCTAAAGCACGACCGTAAAGGTGTAGGCATTGATTAGAATGAATCACCATCTTAACAGCAAAAGCTAGGCAGTAATGTGCAATTACGTGCCCCAAAGGCCCATTCAGTTTTCTGCTAGCTTCCATAGAAACCAAAGGTGGTGTAAGAGGCAAATTGTTTGGTAAATGAGCGCAAGTGCCCCCGTGTCAGTTGTGGAGTAGAGTTACTGTCTTCTGCGAAAGCAGAAAGCCTCACAGTTCTTTGTTGCAAAATGCATGCCTCAGTGCTCTGATTACAGCAATAAGACTGTAAGAATCCCTGGAAGTACTTCTTTGCAGAACAACAGTTTCTGTATGGAACTGATTTAATTTTCTGTATATGTCTGGTTTATGGATGAGGTATTCTTCTGGCATGTGGGTGGCTGTAAGATGTGCATGCACATTTCTAGAACACCCTTATCAGAATGTGTGTGGTGGGGAGGGAAGGGGGTGAGCCTGCAGAGAGACATCTTATTGCAAGCGGAAAATGGAATGAATAAATACAGTCAGCTGAAGGCAAGGAAAGGCTGAAAGAACTGGGGTTGTTTAGTTTGGAGGGCAGATTGCGGTGGGGGGTGGTTAGATGATTTGATAACACTCTTCAAATACCACAAAGTTGTTAATAAGGAGGTGATGATTATTTTTTTGCTGTGTCTACAAAAGACAGGACAAGAAGTAAAAGCCTTAAATTGGAGCAAGGCTGGACATTAGGATGAATTTTCTGACTATAATGTTAAGGGTGATTAAGTACTGAAACACATGACCTAGAGAGGTTGTGGAATTTGCCATTTGAAGCTTTTACACGTGCAGTTTAGATAAACGCAAAACAGGAAGATCCTGCCATGAACAGGGATAACCTGTAGGAGTCCTTTGGGCCCTGTTTTTCTATGAGTGAAATCAGTCTGAATCTAGAGTAAAGGACAATCTGGAGGACATGCAGCCCAGGAATACAGTAGGGCACAAACATGGCTTCTTCCCAAGACATCAGCAAATTTCCTTGAAGTGCAGATGCAGTTGGGAAAGTGCTGGTGTCAAGTGGCACCTCTGTTCCCTGTCTGTCTGTCCATCCATTCTCCCTGTAGGATGGAGGCAAATCTGCACTTTTCAGCTTTTATTCTGGTTAACCCTCTGGAGCCAGCAGTTACTGGGAAAATGAACTGGGTTCTTGCCTTGTGCATCTGGAACATATTGTTTGCTGTACTTTTGTTGCTGCAAAGTTTGTATCCCTAGTACTGATGCAAGAGCCAGGAAGTTTGGAGTCTCCCAGGTCCCAGGGGTTTGCTAGACTGGTACTTAGTAGATATGATGGAAAATGTGTTTCCTAAGTGAAAGTATTTTAGCCCCATCCTTTCCTAGCAGCTGATGAAATTAGGTTGTTGCCTACAAAAGCTTATGTCTCTCTGAACAAGGGAGGGCAGGGTGGTACACTGGAGACTATCTTTTTCCTGATTTCAACTAACATGGCTAACCACCTCTAGGGCCATTGTATGGAAACCTCTGCACCTCCCCAGCCCTATTTACTATACTTTAAAAGGATGTCTTTTCAAATCATTCCTGTCTTTTGAGAGTCTGATTGATATCCATTGAGAAGCTTCAACAAAAACTGGATTGTACCAGCCTGGGTGTCCTACGACTGTGTTTGAATTGGGGAGTACTGCAGCATGATAAACTCACTTCTCAAGCACTCCTAACACCTTTGACATACTTAACATCCATGTTCTTTTTGCCTGTGTCTCCTTAGGTAGAGGAAATTCGAGGGTTTATTGACAAAATTTCGGAGAACGTGGAGGAAGTGAAGAGGAAGCACAGTGCCATTCTTGCTGCACCCAACCCAGATGAGAGTGAGTGAGACATCTCAGTTTTCTTCTTCAGCAGGCTCTGGGAAATGGTGGCACGTGACTACCTCTTGTGGTTTATGAGGGTGGGTCTGATTCCTTGGATGGATGGATGGAGCCTGTGCAAGGTCCTATTGGGCTAAGAATGATATGCCGATGTGTCACCCAGATCATCCTACTGGCTGTCACTTAACCAGGATGGGCTGTAAAGAAAGAGGCTGGTGAGATGCATAATAACTGTGGAGCTTTCAGCGGCCAAATGAGAGACCCACAGAAGATAGGCTGGACTGACAGGGAAAAAGGCCAGAAGGATTGACTGGAGCTTCTTCAAGTTATTGTGGAAGGTAGTGGGGAGCACTGAGCTCTTGACGCTGGTGGAGAGCGATTCTGTGCCTGTGTGTTTGGGGGCATCATGAGGTTCTAAAGAGCGGACAGCCCTTTTAACTCCAGTGAATCCATTTCCCATTCTGTTTAGCTGGAAAAAAATGAGTTAATACAGCAGTGGCTACAGACTTCCCTTTCTGCTACTTCTCTACCAAATACAGTACCGTAGCAATGAAGTTTGATGCCCGGGGCAAAGCCTGCAGCAGCGACCCACTCTCGCCCTGCACACAGATCCAGGGGGCACACGCCCCCCATGCTTGCCTGGGAGTGAATGCAGTGGTGGGAGCTGCCCTCCCTCCATCCGTGCAACCCCCACAAATGAGCTGCTTTTGGCTCTGTCCCACCCTGGTCGGGCAGAGCCTGTTGATGCCCCTTTGCTTCAGCACCCAGGGCTGTTGCCCCACTTGCTCCCCACTTGCTATGGCACTGATCAAATACACTTAATTACAAACCTGAGGAAGAATGTCTTGCATTCAAAAGCTTGTCTAACTCTATCCCAATGACACAGTTCGTCCTATAAAAGATATCACCCAGGAAATACTTGCCTCCCAATTAATTACAGGCATACTAACCTCCTCTATTCTGTGGCATGACAAGGAAAGTGCATGGTCCTCTGCTCTGCAGAGGGAACTGCAGGAGGTTAGATACAATTGGCAATATACTGTCTGTGTGCTCCCCACAATAGCTCCTGACCAAACAGGCTGCTAGATAAAAATAAACAAGGGAGGTATGATCCTCACAGAGTTCCCAGCACTCTAAGATCACTCTGAGAAAGACTTGCAAACTTTTCTGTCAGCCGATGCATAGCACAGGCATGTGAAGGCCTTCTGGAGTTGGTAGGTTAAAACACCTGCTCCAGAAGGCTGCAATGCTAGTCTGCTTGGACCCCCTCCGACAGCCATTTATACTGACCCCTCTGCTTCCCTGCTAGCTACACAAGACTTTCTCCATGAATGTGTCTAGGTTAAACAAGTAATCTGATATTTAGAGGTGCACTGATATATCAGTCGCATATCGAATCGGCACCAATTAAAAGGAAATTTAACATTATCGGCAATTGACTTTTTTTGGCTGGTGTAGTTGATAATGTCAATGATAAATGCTGCATGCACACAGCCAAGAGTTCAGCCTGGCAACTTGGGGAGCAGCGTCTGGCTGGTAAATCTATAGGAGCGAAGGGGCACACAAATCCAGGGGGGCATATGGCCCCCATGCCTCCCCCAGGGCCGGATGCAGTGGCAGGGAACTACCTCCCTACCCCCACACTCCCTGGATGAGCAGCCTTCTGCTCCCAGCCCTGGCTGGGCACCCCTGCCCCACTCCCTCCCTCACTATGGGGGCCATGATCTGCCCCCCCATGCTCCTTCCCTCTCCCATTCCCCCCCACAGACTTACTGGCAGGATGCTTCTCTCCATGCTGCCTGGTTGCACTCCTGTAAGTTGGCAATCGAATCGGTATTGGCTGATATGACTGGGCCATCAGTATCAGCCAAGAAAATCTTTATTAGTACACCCCTACTGATATTTCCTACAAACTACAACTCAAGACCTCTTAAAGGGTGGTGTTCTGTCTCTAATTAAATAAGGGTATTACCCCTTCCATCTAGAATGGCCTCGCCATCATGTTCACTAAACAGCAGCCTAGAAATACAGTTCCTCTGTATCTTCATGTTTCATAGGCTGTTCCTCACCATCCACTTTGGATTTTGTGTTTTGCAGTATTATATATAGACATCTTTCTAAATGATCAGTTCTATCCTACCACAAATTCTCAGGCTCAGTGTGGGACCCATGGGTGATACTTCTCTGGCTTTAGTGTGGCAGGAGTAATCCAAATGATCCATTTGGTCTCAGGATATTGTGGGCAGTTTATGGCATTCTGGAGTTGGGGATGGGGTTTTCTAAAGTGTGTAAGGAAGCTGGGAGTACAACACATGTGTTTTCAGTGGGGATTGCTGGATGATTCCTAACTACCTGCAGTACTTTTCAGAATCTTGCCCTGTGTGGCCAGTGTGGCAGTAAAAGTAGAGCTGACATTTTCTTCTCCTTAAATTACTACAGTGATTTGATGTCAAATAGCCTGTCCAAAAGGGAGCTGATTAGATGCTGAATGTTAAGAGCTTGCAGCAAATCACAGCACGCTAGTAGCAAAAACCTATTGTACTGTAACAGACTCTGACCTAGCAGGTTAAGTGCTGCATTCACTCCTGGTAAGCCAGTGCTCCAGCTGACAAACTCTGTTCCTGTACATAATCATAAACTATAGGAGGTGTGTATGCTAGCTACTTTCTAGGAGATTTACAACAGGACTGTAGAAACAGAACACAAGCTCCTTGTGTGTAGGATGCTGAATGCAACTGAGGGCTAATCCACACCGCAGTGGTGGCAAGTCTCAGCACTGATGTTCTCATAGAAAACAGAGAGTAGAGCTGGAGGGGTCCTCCATATGTCATCTAGTGCAACCCCATGCCTGTGGCAGGATCATCCATATACAAACCATCCTATATAAATCCATAATCTAACTCTTAGTAAAACTACCATCATCCCTGGCATAACACAAGACATAGTATCCTAACCTGCCTGCCAAACTTAAAGCAGAGGGGACCATGGCAGCCAACAGGCTGCTTCTGTAAAATGTCCTAAATGTCCACAACCTTTTTAAGGCATCCTGGACTCTTATCTAGCTAGTCTAGAAGGTCCATCTCTATCCTTCCTTCTGCCTGACTTCAGACTAACATGGCTAAGTACCTCTCTCTGCTCATGAATCGAAGAGTGACATATCCTAAAAACCAATGCCATACTGTCCCAGTAGTGCCTTAGTGGTCAGGAGATGTCTCTGACTGCTGCTTTTGTCCTTCTCCTCTGTGCTGTTGTGGACACATCTGCTTGCTTATGTGCCAATTGGTAGATTTTGTACCCTGAGACATTTCAAAATAGCTTAAAAATGGAGCTTTGAAATGGAGTTGGAGGAGCAAGGTTCAGTCCTATGTATTCTTGGTACCAACACCGCTGGCTCAGTGACGAAAGACTTACCATTCAGCCCAGGCCAAAGTCATAGGGCGTCATGCTGGGCAGTCAGGAGGACATTCTGGTAACTAACTTTCAAAAGCTAGCAGGGAGCCGGATAGTTTCCACTTGGTAAGCATGACATACTGCAGCGTGGCAGCTGGTACTAGCTGAGCAGCATTTCGTTAGTGCCTTCTGCTTTCCAACATTGTACCAAGCATTTTAATTCACCAGATTGCTGCTGCCTCGAGTTTTATAAACAGGTACTGGAAGAACAGCAGAATTTGCTGGACAGATTAGATGAAAGAAAGGAAATGGGCTAATTATTTGTGTCAGTGGGAAGAGGGTTCCAAAAGGGACTCTTTTGCTAGCTAATGATCAGGAAGGAGAAACACAAGTCTGTATTCTTCAAACTGCTGGAGTTTGAAAGTAATTACAGAAATTGCTTTTCCAGATAGTAAATTATTCTGCAACCAAGGATTATTTTCAACTGAATTGAAATATTTAGCAGGGGAGTCCAGAAGCTGCCAGGTCACTATTTTATTCTGACCTGACTGAGGTAGATTAATTTTGTGCTTGTGCAATGAAGGACCAATAGTGATGATAACCTGGATAGATAGGCCCTGTGTTCAGTACACAGCTGTGCCAGTGTATCTCATGCCAAGGGCTAACAGTCATACCTAACTGCCTGGTCATATAAGCTTCTCCTCTCTCCTCACCCCATCTACTCAATTCACTTCAGTATTTAAACCCCCAATGGTGAAATGCCCAGTGAATTTCGCCATGGGACCACCTGAGCCTTCCTCAGGTGCTTTGCAGCTTAGTAAATACAGTAAAACCTGCTTATATCAAACTTTCTTGTACTCATGCATTAGTGACTTTGTGAAGGACTTTTTTATTTGAATACAGGTTAGTAACTTTATTTAAACTGGCTTTGAGATCGACATACTTGCTTTTCATAAAACATGGGGAGGGCATCTAAATCGCCATGATAAAAGGTTAGACTGAATAAAACATTAACCTTTCATTTTTATCAAGCATGTCTGTTGAGCCATGCTAATAATCATAGCCAATGTGAGAGAACCTGTCTCTGCAGAAGCTAAAACAGGAGGAGGCCAGGGGTGCCCTCCATAGGGATGTTGCATTAACTGGAACTAATCACTACATGATCATGTGAAAACCCTCCTTTGAGGAGGCATTTTAAAGCCCCCACTAGAGAAGTCAAGATGCATATCTGCACAAGAGAGAATAACTGAAGGTTGACTCATGTTTGTGTGGAGATTTAGCTGTGAACAAGCAAGTACAACTTATTTGTGCTTTGTAGCTCTGACATTAAAAAGTAGGTTCTGTTTAAGCAGATCCCCAGAACTGGGAGAGCGTGGATGTAAGCCTGAGGTGCATTGGCAGAACTGGGAGGTGAACATGTGGGATCATATGAAAGATTATTTTTTGTGTCAACATCATATTAATGAAGATATTGATGATATGATATTAATTATCAGATGAATCATCATATTCATGATGATTATACATGTCAGCATTACCAGCAGAGGAAGTTTTGCATGGCATCTACCATCTAAACCAGTGGCATCCAATTTATTTCTGGCCCCGCAGTC